CATGACACTTAGTTAGGCCATTTTCAACAAAGAAAGAGTCAATCCTTTTATTCCATGCTCTTGGCGCTTGTTTGAGGCCGTATAGAGCTTTCTTTAATTTGTACACCTTTTCTTCACTGCCTTGCTTGAGAAAGCCTGGAGGTTGTTTGACGAACACCACTTCTTCAAGTGGCCCATTCAATAAGGCTGACTTTACATTCAACTGATGTATTTTCCATCGATTTTGAGCAGCTAATGAGAGTAAAGATTTGATTGTTTCAATTCGGGCAAATGGAGAAAATACCTCTTGATAGTCACATCCGTGTCGTTGCTCAAATCCTTTCACGACTAGTCGAGCTTTGTGTCTTTCAACCTCCCCGTTCGATTTCAATTTCGTCTTAAAGACCCACTTGACATCAATGGGTTTATAATTTGGTGGAAGATGCGTGAGTTCCCATGTTTCATTTCTTTCAATGGCATTCATGTCCTCTTTCATTGCACTCAGCCACTTGGGGTCTTGACTGGCCTCCTCAAATGTTAATGGATCATGCCCTGCAGCAAATGCATAGTGTACAAGTTCTCCATTAACATTTAACTTCATTATCGTTAGTTACCCCATAGTCACGTAGGTGTGCCGGTAAACGATGTTGCCTTCTTGGTCTCTCATCTACTGTTTGCGCCATTGAAGGATATTGTGCAGCAGGATGTGGATCATCTTCGTTGACATCTGAAGTATCATCTGAAATGTCACCCGAAATGTCAAATAGCATATTTGACGAAGTAGTTTTCTGATTTTCCAGGTTCCAATCCCATGCCTCCTCTTGCGCAAAAGTTACATCATGACTAACCATCACCTTCTTTGTTATAGGATTGAATAACTTGTATCCCCAATCTTTGTAGCCAATGAATATCGTCTTTTCAGCACGATCGTCCAGCTTGCTCCGTTTTTGGACAGGGATGTGTGCATAGGCAATGGCGCCAAACACTAGAAGATGTTTCACACTTCGCTTCCTTCCAGTCCAAGCCTCCATGGGAGTGATGTTAGGAGTTCCTTTTGTTGGAGATCTATTTAGAATATACACAACACAAGAAATAGCCTCTGCCCAGAATGAGTGTGGCACACATTTGCTTTTCATCAAACTCCTTGTCATGTCCATTATAGTTCGATTTTTACGTTCGACTATTCCGTTGTGTTGCAGAGTGTATGGGCATGTAATCTCATGCTTTATCCCCTGCTCTTCACAGAATTTCTTGAAGTTATTTGAGACATATTCACCTCCACCATCTGTTCGTAGGGTCTTAAGAGACCTGGCACTTTGTTTCTCAACATGCAATTTGAATTTCTTGAAACAATCAAGAACCTCAGATTTGCAATGTAAGAAATATACCCATATTTTTTTTTGTAAAATCATCAATGAAGGTCAAGTACTTGTTGTTACCATTTGACGCAACATTCATTGGACCACACATCGGAGTGGACAATCTCTAATGGATGGAAGGATCGGCTTTGCTGGCTATCCCCAAATGGCTTTCTGTGATGCTTCCCAATAGCACAAGCTTCACAAAGTTGAACAGACTTATTAATCTCAGGCAGCTCAGTAACCATTTGCTTTTGTGCAAGCAATCTTAAGCTTTGGAAGTTCAAATGACCAAATCGTAAATGCCACAACCAGGATTCATCATGTATAATAGTGTTTAAGCAGTGATGAATTCCCGTAGCAATGTCAACCCGAAACATACGATGTCTGGTCATAGATGCTTTAAGAATGCAAATGTCTTCTTTATCAAACATACTGAGTTGTTGATTGTAGAGATTAATAGCACACTCTCTCTCTCTAATAGTTGACCAACACTTAAGAGATTTGTCTTCATTTTTGGAACAAAGAACACATCTGATATAAACTTTTGATCTCCATTTTTCAATGTGATAAGGATTTCTCCTTTTCCCTCAACAGGTATGGCACTGTCATCTGCAAACTTAACTTTTGTAACAAATGACTCATCCATGTTAACAAATAGCTCCTTTTTTCCGCACATATGGTTACTGCATCCCGTGTCGAGGAACCAAGTTTGACAATTTGGAGTGTCAGTTTCAACAGTAACCATTAAGAGTGTATGCTTTGCATCATCATCATCATCATCTTGAGCATAATTAGCTTATTGTTCACTTTGCTTAGTTCTGCATTCGTTAGCATAGTGGCCAAATTTATGACAAGAAAAGCATTCAACAGATGATTTATCATACTTGCCTCGTCCAAATCCACGTCCTCGGCCTCGACTTCGACCACGGCCTTGATTTCTCCCATTTGGAGTTTGGTGTGAACCTGATCTCTCTTGGTTGTTGGTCTCCTCATCTCGTTTGGTGTAAGGACGACCGCCTTGTCCTCGTCTCTTAGGCCATCGGTATGTACCTCTTCTTGGTTCACCACTAAATTCACTTGTGGCTTGAAGAGCTTGTGCCGTCGATTTTTCAATCTCTTGTCCAGCCATGCGCTCTTCACGAGGATGTAATTTACCCGAGACTTTGTCTACGGTCAATGTCTCCAGATCTTGAGTTTCTTCAATAGTCACCACTATGTGCTCAAACTTTGGAGTGAGCGAACGCAGGATCTTTTCAACTTTCATCTGCTCTTTGCACTCATCGCCACAAAGTTTCGTTTCATTCGCTACAGAGAGCACCCGACCAATATAGGTTGTGACCGATTCATTTGCATCCATTTGCAAATTCTCGAATTGACGCCGTAGAGTCTGAAGTCTTACTTTCTTTACTCTGTCTGCACCTTGGTAGGTTGTCTTCAAGGTGTCCAAAGCTTCCTTCGCCGATTTTGCTGCTGTTATTTTCTCGAACACCTCATCATTTACGCCTTGATGAATCAGGTACAACGCCTTCTTGTCCTTTTTCTGTATATCACGGTGTGCAGTCCTCTGTGTGTCTGTCGCATTCTCAGCAGGACTTTGAACTCCATTTTCGAGTAGCAATTTGTGGTAGTCGAATAGAACCCTCATTTAGGTACTCCACCGAATATAGTTTTTCCCATCCATGATAGGAACAGACAGTGCTACAGAGGTCCCATTCATGACTGCTCTGATACCAGTGATAGAATAAAACAAAAGGAGTAAGGGGAATATGCAAGAAGTGTAAAAATGAATGAGATACGAAGGAAACAAATTGAATTTACCATTTTAACTTTAACTTCTGCATTACATAAGAATATATATATATATATATATATAAAGAGCAGACTAAATTGGACTAACAGTTATTCCTAAAAGCTGTGCAGAGTGGCACAAAAATAGCAACTACTTAATTGACTTATTCAAAATCTAATGAATAAATTATTCAATACCAATAATGAAATAATCAAAATTAAATCCAACAGACAGTACATCAGTAACACGATTATGTTTGAACGTCTTAATTCAATGGATGTTCAAATAACATGTTTTTTATTTGTGTAAGAACATAGCCGCATTATAGCAGGGGCATGCGTTAATTTGAATATGTGGATGTCATGTGTGACGGATTAGTGTTGGTTGTATGGCAACGGCTGTTTGTTTCATTCAATTCAAGTCAGGTGTCAATTCAAATTTCATTATATTTGCTAGCGCTTGTCATTGTTTTATTTAAAATATTATTATAATTGATTAAAAAATTGTTAGTTGAAATAAATTATAACGTGTCCTATCGAAAGGTTGTCATTTTTTATTTTCGTCTGTCCCAAAACAATGTTATAATTTCCTACTTAGGGTGTGTTTGTTTGGGGGTTTGGATTTTGGATTGGGACTTGAATAGTAAAAATTTTGAATTTCAATAGTTGTATGATGTGATATAAATAGAGTTTGATGTGATGTTTTGAATGTAAAATTGATTTTTAGTATAATATAAAAAATGAAAAATAGGTATTTGATTTGATGTTTTTGGGGGAAAAAATTGGATGAATAGTGGAAATCCTCCAAAATCCTTCAAACAAACACACCCTAAACATAATAAATACCTTTTCAATTTACATTATATTACACAAATGTCATTAATTTTATATTACACAATACTAACAGGGGTATTTTCGTTATTTTCACTGCAATTCATTATAATACTAATATTAAAAAATCTACGTGCAAAAAAATAAACGTCACCCTTGTTCCGGACAGAAAGTATTTAGTTTTTAATAAGATCAAAAATGAATTTCTTTTTTTTTTTTTTTTTTGTCTTAAAAAACTTATATAAATTATACGAATAATTTTTTTCTTAAAATTTGAAAATATTCAATCTGAATTTTTAAAAACCTTTAAAATATTGAGGCATTGAATACTAATTTAAAATTTAAAAAAAAAAATCAAAATATTCAACCATTCATAGATTTTATATAATTCTTTTATAAAAATATGAACAAATTATACTAAGTAAAATTTATTTTATTATCAAATATTTCAATAGATTCTCAAAACTTAAAAAAATAATAATAATAAATACCTTATTATTTATCTATATCACTAATAATTATTTTTTAATATGTATTTATTATTGTAATAAAAATAATTCCTTATGTAAGTGAAAAAAAAAAAAAATCAGATATGAATAAATAGATTACAAATATTTTAAAATTTGATACGTTAGAAATAACATAAAAATATTATGTATAGATATATATTTAAAATAGCATACTAGACTTATTTAAATAGTTTGACTCGCGTGTTATATTTCGAAATCCCCGGTGTTTATTATGATTTCGAATTTAAATTTCAGTCTATATTTATTTATATATTTACTTTATACTCTTTTATTTCTATTTTAATATATTTAAAAATTGCTAATTATCATTTCAATTCTATTTTACACATATGTTTACTTATTTTTGTAAAAAACTATATAATAATGTACTTTTGGAACTTATAGATTTTTTATATATTTTTTTTTAAATCTTTTTTTTTTAAGTTAAAAAAAAAAAAAATCTAATAAAATTTAAATGAACAGCCTCAAATCTTAAACCAATTTTGCGCAGATACAATTTTGCTATTGGACTGGATCACGGACAACTCAGTGGATCCTTTTTCACGGGCCGCACTATTAATATTGAGTACAAAATCGCAGTACTAAGTAACAGGTACGATCAAATGGATAAGAAGTGAACCACCGCAAGCCATGGCTGCCGGCGGCTGAAGAGCCCTAATAGATTGACAGACGGTAAATCTTCCCTTCTCTTCGCCCTTCTCCCCCGATCGATGTCTCTTCCTCCTCACTAAGCTTTTAGTTTCTTGGGATTTAATCCGTGATTGCGTTCGACCCCCCTTCCCATTCCCATGGAGTTCGGGGTTCCCACAAGGCAAACTCATCGACATATCTGCTGTTTTGATAAGCAAACCCCCTGTCTTCTTCATAAAGAAAGAATATTTAGCCGTTTTGACTCTCCTTGTGCCGGCGTGAAGAAGCATTGGACCAGGAGGCCGAGGCGGTGGCCGGGCGTGAAGGTTTCGGCCGTTTCCGCGGCCGAGACCTTTGGCACGAATGGGAGGCTAAGGCTGTCGTCGGCGAAGGGGCCGGGGCCGGGGCCAGGGAATTCATCTCGCAGTTTCGAGGAATTTGAGAGCAACAACTACCTCCGTAGGTTGGTTCGGAATGGGGAGCTGGAGGAAGGGTTTAAGCATCTGGAGAGCATGGTGTCCCGCGGGGACATTCCGGACATCATCCCCTGCACCAGCATGATTCGGGGGTTCTGCAGGGTCGGCAAGACCAGGAAGGCCACGCGGGTGATGAGCATCCTGGAGGACTCCGGGGCGGTGCCCGACGTCATAACCTACAACGTGCTCATCAGCGGCTACTGCAAGTCCGGGGAGATTCAGAACGCGCTGAAGGTCCTGGAGCGGATGAGCGTGGCGCCCGACGTGGTCACCTACAACACCATCATACGCACGCTCTGCGACGGCGGCAAGCTGAGGCAGGCCATGGAGATCCTTGACCAGCAGCTGCGCGAGGAGTGCTACCCGGACGTGATCACCTACACCATCCTCATCGAGGCCACGTGCAAGGAGGGCGGGGTGGGGCAGGCCATGAAGCTCCTGGATGAGATGAGGAGCCGGGGCTGTAAGCCCGACGTGGTCACCTACAACGTCCTCATCAATGGGATCTGCAGGGAAGGCCGGCTGGATGAGGCGGTCGGGTTCCTCAACACCACGATGCCGTCGTACGGCTGCCAGCCCAATGTGATCACGCACAACATCATCCTGCGCAGCATGTGCAGCGCTGGGAGGTGGGCCGACGCCGAGAAGCTGCTGGCCGAGATGCTCAGGAAGGGCTGCTCTCCGAGCGTCGTGACCTTCAACATCCTGATCAACTTCCTGTGCAGGAAAGGGATGCTGGGCAGAGCGATCGACATCCTGGAGAAGATGCCCAGGTACGGGTGCAAACCCAACTCCCTGAGCTACAACCCGCTGCTGCACGGCTTCTGCAAGGAGAAGAAAATGGACAGGGCGATCGAGTACCTGGAGCTGATGGTCTCCCGGGGCTGCTACCCGGACATCGTGACGTACAACACGCTGCTCACGGCGCTGTGCAAGGATGGGAAGGTCGACATGGCGCTCGACATCCTTAACCAGCTCAGCAGCAGAGGCTGCTCCCCTGTGCTGATCACCTACAACACGGTCATCGACGGGCTCTCGAAGATGGGGAAGACCGAATGCGCCATCCAACTGTTGTCGGAGATGCAGGACAGGGGCGGCCTCAAGCCCGACATCATCACCTACTCCTCACTCGTGGGAGGCCTCAGCCGAGAAGGGAAGATCGAAGAGGCGATCCGATTCTTCAAGGACTTGGAAGGCTCCGGGATCAGGCCTAACGCCAACATCTACAACTCCATCATGCTGGGGCTCTGCAAGGCGCGGCAGACGGACCGCGCGATCGATTTCCTGGCCTACATGGTCTCGAAAGGAGGGTGCAAGCCCACTGAGTCCACGTACACGATTCTCGTGGAAGGCCTGGCTTACGAAGGTCACACGAAGGAGGCTCTGGAGCTGTTGAATGAGCTGTGCTCGCGGGGGGTTGTGAAGAGAAGTTCGGCTGAACAGGTGGTGGACAAATTGTAGTTTGATGACCAGCGATGCATCCATCTAATCTCAGTTTTGGTAGAGAATCGAAACAATATAAAACCCAGTTTATAGTGGTTGGCTGGCTGGCGCTAAGATTGTTTTGTTGTGTCAAACTTACTGACTGCGCGCCCACACACTTGCTTGCTGGCACTTGATGATTTGGAGCATGATTCTTATTATTCTTACTATAGGGTTTGGGTCCGTCTCTGAGTGTGTTAATTTTGAAATTCGGTTTGGCGGTTGTTCCAGATCGTTTTAGTTTGTGAGTTGTGGCGCTGGGGCAGACAGTATGGATGCATGGATCTGGCTTGAGTGCGTCCGAGATGAGATGTTAAAGACGGGAATTCGGAGTTGTAAACTTAAAATCAATTAATTATTAGTTGTAAGTAGAATAGGCCTTCATCCGAGGATCAATACCCAATAAGGCAAGGCACCATACTCTAATATCATATTAAGACCTTAAAATCAATTGGTTGTAAGTAGAGCATGGAATAGCCCTTCACCGTAGGAAAATTTCAACATCACATCCAACGAGGGAGTTAACATGAGAAGAGAGCGAGCATGTATGTGATTGTTGAGAATTGGGGGCTGATTAATATATTCACTGCTCCATTTTTGCCTCAGGGTGGAAAATTGTAGCATGACCAGACCAACCGGACCAGTTTATCAGCAGTTAATCCTCTGACAGAGGTATAGAAGAGAAGGCGCCTCCTGTCCAGTCTAGATAGAGATAGAGCAGTAGTTTCGTTTGTTCGCTTTTATCTTTATCCACACTCCTACAGGAATCAACTTCAAACATGTCAAAACAAGGTTCTATACACCCTAGGCACAAAAATATTGTCCATTTCAACGCATTGTTGTGGACCCAGACAAGAATTATATTAATAATTCTTAAGCCAAGTGTATGATTATGGAATAGATTTTGCAAATTAAAAACGCAGGACAAGTGGTGGATTCCAGCCAGCCAGCCATTCTTGCCGGCCAAAATTCAGACTCGCGCCCTATAATTCAGGGCAATCTCAGCCCTGTTTCAAAGAAATATAACATTTTATTCAAAACAAAACGCGTAAAAGAATCTCACCTTTTTAGGTGTATATGATACTATAATAATTCTTGGTGGCTGGGAAGTGGGAACAGGATTGATTACTCTGGAATTGGAATGCATTACACTACCTACACGGTTTGCTAAATTTTCTAACAACTTCAATCTAGGTGTGAAGCGGAAATGGAATACGATTTATGAAACTATAGGATAGATGCCAGATGACCAATTCAATTCAATTCACAAGTAAAAACAAAAAGGAGAGATATAATGAATGGTTGCAGCAGCAGCATGACGACAATGATGAAGGTGGAGGTGAAGGTGAAGGTGCTGCTGGTGGTGGTCCGTCCTACTTGGTTCACCGGAACCCCTGATCAGATCAGACATCAGACATCAGATATCAGATCAGCTAAGCAGCATAAATTAGTAAATGAATTAATCAAACTAGATCGGGTAGGGTACCGCAGTCCCGGGTGGAATTGGAATCGGAATGGGCGCAGATGCAGAGGAAGCCCCTGGTGTCGACGTCGAAGCCGCAGGTGCCCCCGGAGTTGGCGCAGCGGTCGCAGCCGAGGTCCGGCACACTGTAGCTCAGCCTCATGCCGTAGAGCCAGTCCAGCGCCCCGATGCCCCGCAGGCCGTCCGCGTTGTAGACGCTGGTGTAGTGGGTGCAGTCCAGGATGCTCATGCTCATCATCCGCACCGTGTCGTACCGCGTGAAGCAGCACGGCGGCGGCGCGCGGGTGCTGCTGCCGTTGGCGCTCGGGGATGAATATGAGAAGAGGAAGCGCTTGAAGGAGGTGCAGCTGGCGTAGAGCTCGTCGCAGGAGTGGCCGGAGAAGTTGAAGCAGAGGGAGCTGTAGTGGTTGAGCACCGGGGAGTCGAGGGAGCAGTTGATGAGCGCGAAGACGGTGTCGGGGGAAGGGGGCACGGTGGCCCACTGGATGTCAGTCATGAGGAAGTCGTGGCGGGGCTGCAGGATGGAGCAGGTGGTCATGGAGGGGTCGAACACCGTCAGGGTCCTCCGGCTGTAGTCGATGCTCTGGATCTTGTAGCTGCCGGAGGGGGTGACGAAGAAGAGGTCGGAGCCGGAGCAGTTGAGCATAGGGCGGAAGAGGGCGGCGCCGCAGCCGTCGTCGATGCCGAAGGGGTATCTGATGGGAATGTTGTTGCAGAAGGGGCGGCACACCGAAGCAGCAGCAGCGAAATGCAGCAGGAGGAGGAATGATACTAGCAGTAAAAGTAATACTCTGAGAGTGAGAGTGAGAGTGCTGCTGCGAGTGGCCATGATGAGGTTGAACAAGTTTGAAGGAGGAGGAGGAGGAGCGACTCACTCACTCACGCACTCACCGAGAATGGACCATTATTATATTATAATAATACCTCATTCTTGCATGCATACATTTACATACTATGCTATACTATACTATGCTGCCTCTCGGATTTCTATTTCTATTTCTATTTCTATTTCGATTTCTGGCTGGGATGGCACTAACAATGCAATGCATCTATCGATCGATCTCACTGGCGCGCATCCGCCCCGCACTGCCCTACCCTGCCCTGCCCTGCCCTGCCCTGCTGCTTTTGACAAAGGAATTGCGCCTGTATGTATGTGTATTACTACTATAGTATTTATCTTAGGGATTCGGAAGATTGATTGATTGATTGATTGAGTGCACCTACCGAGCAAATTTGAATTGTTGCAAACATGGAAGCTTTATTATTATTATTATTATTAGGAGTGTAGTAGTAGCAGCAGCAGCGGTGGTGTGTGCTTCTTCTTACCTTTTTGACCCGGAGGCAGCAGCAACTAGGAGATGATGAGAACATGTATGCATCACCATCACCATCGCCTTGGAATGGGGAATAATCAGCAGCAGCAGCAACAACAACCAACCAACAGGGTCAATCATAATATAATGCTGGATTGGCTGGTGGGTCCGTGTGAGTGTGAGTGTGACATGACAGACTCACTCGACCCAATCTCTTTCCACGCCCACGCCCACGCCCAGGGACAGGGATTTCTTCTTCTCATATGAACCGATCAGATAATAATAGTATTACGCATTAAACTGATTGTCTTTAATGGTCCGTCCACTTGGTGATCAGAGGGAGTGGTTATATCAATGTTGTCATATGGAGTAATATTTGTGACTCCATACTTAGAAACTGCCCTTTATGCAACAGAAGATCAGATCAGCAACTCCTCAAAAGAAGCTAAGAATAACATTACAGATTTCTGAGCATACCTTCGCAACAACTATCGCAATAACTCCACATACAATCAGAAAAAAATGAACTATTGTAATATTAGTATAAGATTAGCCAATAAAAATACTAATTATTCCTACCGTTAACTACTATTTTATATATTGTATATAATATATATAGTGGATATATATAGATGTATGTGTGTAATCGTGTGTGAATATATAAATATATGTATGTGTATAATATTATATATATATATATATGTTTGTATAGTTTATGTAATGATGATGTTGATATATATAAATAAATGAGAGAGATAGATAGGGAGAGCGATTAATGAGTAGGGATACGTATATATCTTCCTTCTTCATCCAGTACAAATTACCTATATATATAGGCAAGTAAACATTGAATTTTGAGGACATAAGACAGCCACACAATTATCGAATAAGATTATATTACGCGTTCTATTTTAACTGCATCCACATTATCGCGTACAAGCATGTACGTGTATGACACTCCCCCTTGGATGCTATTATAAAAGAATGTGCATCGTTAAAACCTTATTAAGAAAAAACCCAGTGGGACAAGAAATCCTAATGAAGGAAAAATAGTACAACATTCTTATATCAATTCGCTTCCCCTGATCTGAGCATTATTTGAGATCCCTGAACCGACGCATTCCAATTTTCTTCACCAATTTTTCAAATGTTGTCGTCGGCAATGCCTTGGTTAATATATCCGCTAAATTATTATCGGATCGAATTTGTTGCACATCAATTTCACCATTCTGCTGAAGGTAATGAGTGAAAAAGAATTTTGGTGAAATATGTTTTGTTCTATCTCCTTTAATATAACCCCCTTTCAATTGGGTTATACAAGCCGTATTATCTTCATATAATGTAGTTGGGAAAATTTTATCGTCAGGTATTAACCCGCAATTTTTCAAAATATGTTGAGCCATTGACCTCAACCAAACACATTCTCGACTAGCTTCATGTATTGCCAATATTTCAGCATGATTTGAAGAAGTGGCAGTTAAAGTTTGTTTTATCGATCTCCAGGAGATCACAGTTTCGCCACAAGTAAATATGTAGCCAGTTTGTAACTTGGCTTTATGAGGATCAGATAAATATCCTGCATCGGCAAAACCAATCAATTCATGTCGAGAATATTTCGAGTAAAATAACCCGAGATCAATTATTCCTTGGAGATAGTGAAAAATGTGTTTAATCCCATTCCAATGTCGTCGAGTAGGCGATGAACTGAATCTTGCCAATAAATTTACAGCAAATGATATATCAGGTCGGGTGCTATTAGCAAGATACATCAATGCGCCTATAGCACTCATATATGACACTTCTGGGCCAAGTGTTTCTTCGTTTTCCTCTTTTGGTCTAAAAGGATCATTTGCTGGATCGAGTGCTCTGACGATCATTGGGGTACTTAGCGAATGTGATTTATCCATCAGGAATTGTTTCAGTACCCTTTTGGTATAATTTGATTGGTGGATAAAGATTTCACTTTCCAAGTGCTCAATTTGCAAACCAAGGCAAAACTTAGTTTTTCCAAAATCTTTGATCTCAAACTCCTTTTTCAGATATTCAGCAGCTTTCTGGATTTCATTAGGAGTTCCAATTAAATTGAGATCATCGACATATACAGCGATGATTACAAATTCAGACCCATTTTTCTTTATAAAAACACATGGATGGATAGGGTCATTTATATAACCTTTTTTGGTTAAGCTTTCGCTGAGACGATTGTACCACATTCGGCCTGATTGCTTGAGCCCGTACAAAGATTTTTGTAATTTGATGGAATATGACTCTTTTGGCTTTGATTTGAATGATTCAGGTATATTAATCCCTTCTGGGATTGACATCATTGTCTAAGAAGCCATAAAGATAGACAGTAACCACATCCATTAATCGCATATCAAGATTATTGTGTACTGCTAGGCTCACCAGATACCTGAATGTTATTCCATCCATGACCGGCGAATATGTTTCTCCAAAATCAATACCCGGTCTCTGGGAAAAACCCTGGGCTACAAGCCTCGCTTTATATCTTGTGATATCATTATTTTTAGTTCTTTTTCTCACAAACACCCATCTCTAACCAACAGGTTTCACATTTTCCGGTGTTTGGACTATAGAGCCGAATACTTGCCGTTTTTTCAATGAGTCCAATTCAGACTTAATTGCGTCTTTCTATTTTGCCCAATCATCTCTTTGCCGACATTCATCAACTGATTTTGGTTCATAATCCTCGTCATCTTTCATTATATCGAGTGCTATAGAATATGCAAATGCATTATCAATATTTGTTTTCTTTATGTTCCAATATTTTCCACTGGTGGTATAGTTAACAGAAGTTTCAATAACTTCATCATCACTTTCATCAGAATTTTTAGTATCAACCTCTTCAGGGGTTGTACTGACCTTTTCAGGTATCTGATCATTGTTGATCTCTTCACCAGTATTTACAATTTTCTTCTTTCGTGGATTCTTGTCCTTGGAACCCAATGGTCTACCACGTTTTATGCGGGCAGTATGCTCATTAGCACTCGGCATTTTCCCTTCTGGGATTTTTATTTTAGCCGGTGCATTTTCTGCTGCAATATATGATTTCGTAACTCTGGCAACATCATTAAAAGCATCAGGCAATTGATTTGCAATTTTCTGTAAATACACAATTCTTTGAACTTTAAGTTCACTATGTTTCATACGAGGATCAAATTCAAGTGGTGTTTTCCACAAAATTTCTTTTTTCAGTTGATTATTGTCTCTCCCTAATGTCGGGAAATGAGATACATCAAAATGACAATCTGCAAACCTCGCAGTGAATAAATCACCCCGTTGTTGGTTCAAGATATTTTGCAATCGAGGGTGATTCATACCCGACATATATACCCAACCTTCTTTGAGGTCTCATTTTCGTGCGTTGAGGTGGCGCAATTGGAACATAAACAACACACCCAAATATTCGCATGTGAGATATATTTGGTATTTTTCCAGAAACCAATTGAGTGGGGGAATAACAGTGATAACTTGTCGGCATTATTTTCACGAAGGCTGCTGCATGCAATATAGCATGTCCCCAACATGATACAGGAAGTTTAGACCTCATCAATAATAGTCTAGCAATTAATTGCAATCTTTTGATAAGAGATTCAGCCAGGCCATTTTGCGTATGTACATAGGGAACAGGATGTTCCACGGTAATCCCAATTGACATGCAGTAATCATCAAATGTATGTGATGAATACTCTCCAGCATTATCTAGACGTATTTTCTTTATCGGGTGATCTGAAAATTGTGCTCGCAATTTAATTATTTGTGCAAGTAGTCTAGCAAAAGCTAGATTGCGAGTAGATAACAGACATATGTGTGACCATCGCGTCGACGCGTCAATTAGTACCATAAAGTACTTGAAAGGCCCAGTGGTCCACAAATATCACCCTGAATTCTTTCCAGAAAAGCTGGGGATTCAAATCCAACCTTTGTTGGAGATGGCCTGATTATTAACTTCCCTTGGGAACAAGCAGCACAAGCAAATTCATTCGGACTCAAAATATTTTTCTTTTCCAATGAGTGGCCATTTGAATTTTCAATAATTCGCCTCAGCATTACATTGCCAGGATACCCAAGTCGATCGTGCCAAGTTTTAAATTCGCTAGTAGCCATTTGTTCTACTAGGTGATATGTTTCAATGGCACTGATTTTTGAGTAATATAAGCCGGAAGAAAATGATGGCAATTTTTCTTTCACAATTGTTTTGCCATTCACAATCTGAGTTATCAGAAGATATTCATTTTCTGTCTCATTCAATGTTTCAATGTGATACCCATTTTTCCGAATATCACTGAAGCTCAGTAAATTCCTTCGAGCTTTGCTCGAGAACAAGGCATTTTCAATTGCCATTTTTGTCCCTTTTGGGAGATATACAATAGCTTTTCCTAAGCCTTCAATCATTTTCGATGCACCACTGATAGTAACAATTGTGTTCTTTCCCATATTAAGATGGGAGAAATAACTTTTATTTTTCAGAATGTTGTGAGTTGTAGCACTGTCGATAAGGCAGATGTTGTCATCGGCTCCAAAATATTTGGCACCCATATCTTTGCAAGAAGGTAAAAATAATAAAAGACATGTATTAGTAACATAATCAAAATAGACTTATATTATAGGGGGTAATACAAAAAGTGGGGCAAAAAACATCAAAATAACAAAATAGATACAACAATATTTTATCATTTAACATCATCAGCTATGTCAAGCAGATCATCGGCATCCAGGTGCGTGATATTTCATTCATCATATCGTCAAATGTGTCATCGTGGGCAGTGTGATTTGTTTCGGGGGCAATCCTTCCCTGTCTTTCTTTTGAAGCCCGATACAGTTCAGCCAAGTGACTGGCTATGCGACAAACGTAGGCCTAATGGCCTTTGATTCCACACCGGGTGCATTCCTCGTCATTATTTCTGTTTCTCCCGGTGTTGATCCTCTGTTGAGGTCTGTACGGCCTTCTGTCATTATAATGCCGATTTGGCACATATCGGGGTCTGTTTTGATAATTATTATGACTGTATGCGTTTGCCCGGCCCCGTCCGCGATTCTGATTTCGATCGCGATCAATTCGCTGATTTCTTACTTGCCCACGACCACGCACCGGATTTGCCGGTTGTATTGCATTTGCCTCTGGAAATGGATTTGCACCTGTCGGCCGAGATTCGTGATTTTTCAACAGCAATTCATTATTTTGTTCGGCCACAAAAAGGCAGGTGATTAGCTCAGAATATTTCTAGAAGCCTCTTTCGCGATACTGCTGCTGCAAAACCATGTTAGAGGCATGAAAAGTGGATAAAGTTTTCTCCATCATATCAGATTCATATACATTTTCGCCACAGTGGCGCAGCTGTGATGCTATTTTAAACATGGCAGAATTATATTCTTGGACTATTTTAAAGTCCTAAAGCTGTAGGCTTTGTCATTCGCTTTGTCCCCTTGGCAACAATGTCAGCCTCAAATGATCGTATCTTTCTTTCAATTTCTCCCACAATTCAAGTGGGGATTCCAGCGTGACATACTGCATTTTCAGTGGCTCATCGATGTGATGGCACAAAAAGATCATGGCCTTTGCACGATCTTGGCTCGGGGTGTTTTTATCCCGGGCAATAGTATTTTCCAAGCCCATTGATGCCAAATGCATTTTAACATCGCGAGCCCATACCATATAATTTTGGCCAGAAACGAGGAGAGGAAGAAATTTCTGTTTGGCAAGGTTAGTCATAATAAACAGATAAAATAATAAACAGATAAAATATGAAATATTACCTTACGGAAATTAAAATATATAATCGTGTTGATAACGTGTTGTAATATTAGTATAAGATTAGCCAATAAAAATATTAATTATTTTTATCGCTAATCACTATTTTATATATTGTATATAATATATATAGTGGGTATATATATAGATGTATGTGTGTAATTATGTGTGAATATATAAATATATGTATGTGTATAATATTATATATATGTATGTTTGTATAGTTTATGTAATGATGATGTTGATATATATAAATAAACGAGAGAGAGACAGATAGATAGGGATAGAGATTAATGAGTGGGGATATATATATATCTTCCTTTTTCATCCGGTACAAATTACCTCTATATATATGTAGTCAAGTAAACATTGAATTTTGAGAACATAAAACAGCCACACAATTATCGAATAAGATTACACTACGTGTTCTATTTTAACCGCATCCACATTATCGTGTACAAGGCATGTACATGTATAACAGGAATAACATTATGCATTTATCCGCGGCCACCTGAAAAACACAGGAAATGGATATTCATATGAATACGGTAAATTTAAATAGTGTATACCAACTGTTGTTAAGAAATATTGATACCAGGTTCAAAGTGCCACTAAAATTTTAATTCAAGAGAAAAAAATAGTGGTATTTGCATAATAATAAAAAAAAAAATAATTTTATAGTAATATAATTATCAATGGTAATAAAAATATTATTTTGAAATGAAAATGTTAGCATATTGTTTATATTTTGTCATTTGGAACCACCTATGCCTCTCTATATTTTTATATATATAAACATTGAAAAATATATATATAATAATAATAAACTAGAACTATTGAATTGAAATCAATGGAACATCCACTTTTTTCTTTTCATATCAAATTTATTACCAATTATCGCTAAAATACACTATGTCTTTTTAAATAATTACTAGTAGTTGAATGACTAGGATTAGAGATGATTCGGTATGGGCGAGGGAGTATGAAATAATTATAAATTAATACTCTCTCCATCTTACACATTTATTTTGTGAAATTTAAAAAATAATAATAATTTAATTACAGTGGCGGTTTAAAGTAATATAAAGATAATTTTATCATTTTTTATAAAAATAATAATATAATAGTAAAATAAAAATATTTATACAAAGTGTGAGATATTTTTAAAATAATCGATCTGTGATTAAAAAATTCAAAATTAAAAATATGTATATTTTGTGAATAGCAGGAGGAAGTATTGAATAGTAGTTGAATGACTAGAATTAGGAATAATTGGATGCTATATATCAAAAATATTAGATCATATTGTATATTATACCCAATTGGTTAAAAATTTATAGTGATATGGTAGCAAGAATTGAAGATGAATTGAAGTTTGAAAAGTTTGCTAAGCTCAGAAGTTTGCTTGGTGTTGGTCTCTTGAAAAATCAGAATTGAAGGAGAGTGCGAGAATAACAGAGAGATAAACAATCAATACAAGTAGTTAAGTTTCATAATAACAATAGTTGAAATTTCAATATTTAATTTAATTGCATAGCATAGCATGGGAGGATCTTTTGTTGGTATGGTAAATCCCGGCTGACGTTTGGTGATTTGTGTGGCTGCCTGGGGTACCTGGAACTGGAAGTTTACCCGAGGCACGTGACGTGACGTCAGCCGCATCACATGCAAGCAAGCCAGCCAGCCAGCCTCAACTGTACAGCTAAAGTATCAATCATTTGCTACCACGGAAATGACCAAAACGAATACTCGAATCAAATGATGCTCTGGAGTTTCAACAGAATGGTTTGTCACTGCTTATACATATAAATATATATATATATATGGAATGTATGTATGTAGTATGTATGTATGCATGCGTAGTAGTATGTATATATGAGAATTATCTGCACTCAAACAAACGTCTGAAGAGAGAGAGAGAGAGAGAGAGCAACACAATGAATCCCCCCATCAACAGCATGGCATCCTCAGGTCAGGTCAGTGTTTTCCGCTGCTGACGCCATCTCATCTGCTATCCGATTGCCATGGACGACCACACAAATCAAATGTTACACCTTTATCTGCAGTCAGGCAGGTAGTTACACACAAGCATAAATAATATCCACCACTGCATTGCATCTACACTACTAGTGCTCTTACTGGGCAGCAGTACGCCCTGCTTGCAGCTGCATTGCATGTTTTCTGTACATATCTTTCAGCACCTCCACCAATTCTTGGAATGACGGCCGCGACTTTGGCTCGCTGGGGAGTTCAACACAATCAATCAACACCACACACACACATGTCAGCCCATGTTTTACATTGATACCCACCCTGCAGACTGGGAATACAACCCCCACTACTACACTCTTAGCTTTAGCTTATCACCAACAAGTAGACAAACAAGTTACAAGTTTAACACGTACTCTTAAATGGCAAAACATATTCGCAAATGGCTTGGATAGAAATTTATACCACCGTAAGGCCCGGGAGAGAAGAAGAAAGAAGAAAAAAAATCATACACTAAAACTACCAAAAAATTTGATTTTTCCCTTAGCAGGCAGGTAGGTTCGCTCCAGGTGAGGAAAATACAGCAGACACATTTAAGAGTTGACATATCAAAACCTTGAATTCAAGGTGGACCCAACCAAAAGATTTATTTTTTTTTTAAGAAAAAAAAAAAACCGAGTTAAAAATAGGGGAGTAAACAATCATGGATAACAACCAACCTGCTGCAGCAACGTTCTATGAGAGAAGCCCACTGCGGATCAACATCCTCTGGAATCTCCAGCCGTTGATTCATGAAGCCCACAGCTCCAATAACCTGTCATGTCATGACCATACAGAAATGGACCATGCCCGCACCATAAGAATTGAATATTCTTCCACAAAAATTCATTTAACCAGAAAATCCACAGAACCTGCATAGCGTTGAGGTTATCCCATGGAACCTTTTGCGTGACAAGTTCCCAGAGAATTACTCCGTAGCTATATACATCAGCCCTGATCATCCCAAACAAGAAATCCAGATATTTCAGGGTTAGACAACTTGTTTCTCAAAAAAAAAATGCCGTTTAAATTGATTTATGCTATTAAGCTGGCCATACTTCTCGTCTGAAGGTTCATTGCGGAGAACTTCGGGAGCCATCCATTGAGGCTGAAATAATGGAATAAAGTAGAGGTTTAGGGAACTCCATTCATTTGAAGATAATGAACCAAAATCAGTTCCAGTAGTATGAGTTGCCAGTCACATACCGTTCCTTTGCCTGTCTTTGTTTGCAAGTAAGTTTCAAGTTTCAGACGAGAGAGACCAAAGTCACCAACCTGACCAGTATCACCATATTTGTTTTCAAGATATTGTAAGCTATTAAATAGTTCAATGCCAAAGAAGTAACCCAACCTTGACAGTCCAGTTCTTGTCAACAAGCAGATTCGAAGATTTTAAATCACGGTGAACAATAGGTGGACTGAAATGATGAAGATAACTCATACCACGGGCCTGTTTACATATGTCAAACAGCAACGTTAACTATCAACAGCCATGAGTAGAAAAATGGTAAGAGTTTACTGGAAGGAAAAATGAGTACGATATAACATATAGTGGCAACCGAAAAAATGTAGTTCACAGTTCCAAAGATTCATGACACTTCAATTTAATTTAGCAACTTACTACATCCAAAGCCATGTGAATTCGCCTTCTTTTTTCTAGTTTTGTGGGATTCCTCTGTAAGAATCGGAATAGACTCCCACTGAGCAAAAAGATAGATTCAAAATAGCATCAGCCACATACATATCCAACAGTATATATAGGCAGCATACAAGGAAGAAAATTTTTATATGAGGCAATCATAGGGGATGAAACATTATATCCGGGAAAGAAAAAACTCGCGAGATGGACTACTAAAGCACAAGGTGAGAGTGTACCGTGGAAGAAATTCCGTAACAATGCAAAGACGTTGAGGTGAAGTAACAGCACCCATGAAGAGGAGAATATTTGGATGGCGAAGTCTTTTCATAAGGGCCACCTTTTCAAAAAGACATGATAAGCAGAAGCATGACGAGGTGAAATACATATCCATTTATACATATCAGCGTTTGTTCTTCTTTATTCAATTTCTTATTTCCATTAGATGGGGAAAAAAATGCAGCAAACTTCATGCAAGTCTAAGCACCAAGACAGTTTGGACGGAAGATCATTATCAAAGTTCCATTAAGCTCCAAAACAAGCAGAATGGACTACAAAAGCAGCGCGCAGATATAATAACAATGAAATTTGTTTCGCTTAAAAATAAGTATGCAAATAAAACAGGACGCAATCATAGACGAATAACTGATTTCTTTGAGTCATGAATCATAGCATTTCGACTGGAGGCTAGAACTCATACTTTCACAATCAACTCAAGGGGGTGCATGTTAACGTGTAAAGACTTTAAAAAAAGAAAAAAAACGAAACACATACTGACCTCCTGTCGGAAGGAAAGTAAAACATCGTCCGAGTAATCTTGTTTCGGGAACGCCTTGACTGCAACATCCTGCAGATATATAGGAGAAGATGGAAAAATAAACTTCAAAGAAAGTATGAGGTGCAGGAGCACAAGCTTGCTCTGGGCGACAACCTACAGGTAATAATTTCAAAAACAAGCCCACATATAAGATTAATCACATTTCAACAAGCCTTATGTGGGCATAGAGCAATGGCCCGAACAATGTTTTAACTCCAATCAGAGGAACAACTACTCCCATGGTGACATTCTTTGAGTCATTTTCTCAATTGGGCGGCTGTATAGGAAATGAATGCTCTAACTATGGATATAATACCGAAAATAGACCAAAATTAAACAGAAGAGGCAAAGAACATACTGATCCAAACCACAGACCGTGATATACAGTTCCACATGAACCTGAACACAGAAATTCAAAGGAAAAAGTAAGGGGCGAAATAGATGATAATGACTCTGCAGCTTCCATAAGGAAACTTATGACAAACTTAGACCAAGTTTACATCAACAAAGAAACCTGAACGTCAAGCACAAACAACAAACCTGGTAGAAAAATTGATCATAACACACGCATCAGTAAAGCTTATAATAGGACAACATAGAGTCATAGAAGCAAAGGGAGCCGTGATGTCTTTGTTACTTTATAGTTCATTAACATGTTAATAATTGCTGATAAAACGAGTATGTATTCCCAATTTCAAAGTTTCCTTACGATCAAGATCCATGAGCAGTAAAGGGGAACCAGGAGGTGAAAACAAGCAAGCAAGCTTAAGGACCAAGACAGCCATCTGTAAGACTGAATGCACCAACCTTGTCCGATTTGTTCTCCAATAGTCATGTCTTCCCAAGTGATTTCGTAATCCAAGGTATCAATATCCGAATCAACTTTATTAAGAGCACCACTCCCTATGCTCCCGTAGCTACTGCTGCTGCTTGTGCTGTTAACATTAGCTGAAGAGGACCAAGAACCTGAAGCCTCAATATGAGCTGCACTATTGGCTTCTGACATGGCATGAATCTCTGATCTTAATGTTTCAGAATCACTCTTCCGCCCCTGCTCGTTCTCGTTCTCGATCTCAATCTCAATCTCCTGGTCATTCTGTGACCATGGCCATGCAAATCGAGAAGGCTTTAGCTCTGCTCCATCGCGTTGTTCACGCTCACGCTCACGTTCACGCTCACGTTCACGCTCGTTCCCTTTCCATGGCCATGTCAAACCAGTTTTACCAACCCAAGACTCGGCCTTGGAGGAAAGAATCTTAGAAATACCGGGCTTCCCTTCTCTCTCGTCGCCAGAATCTTGAGTAGTCCTACTTGGTGAATATCTCTCCGGGTTGCCGACACCAGGGGGCACGGGCACGGGCATGGGTATTCCAAAAGTAGGCCGGTGAGCATCTCCTCTGGGTGTACTGGCTCCGCTTGAGGCTGCATCGTCCTGCTGGTATTCCACAGCATCTGGAAAGCCTTGATTTGAGCGTTGGGCGTGGGCATGGGCGTCCCAAGCAAAATCATCACGATCTAAGCTCTCTGCGGGCCTCATTTTCGATTTCACCTTGTTGCTCACTTTAGAGGCCTATTTAATGGACCTAATTCAGTTAGTTATGGTCATTGAAAGGAAAGAATACAACACCATCAAATCAAATCAGATGAATACCGACCAAGATTGATATTTTGGAGGCTAATGCCACTTGCAGAGGCGGCTGCTGTTGCTGCTGCTGCTGCTGCTGCTGCTGATGGTGGTGGTGGTGGTGATGATGATGATCATTTCCGAGTTTGCTCGCAGCACGTCTCCTGGCCGGAGCAGGTGCACTAGCAGCAGTTCTGAGATCGGCAACAGCAGCAACAGCATTAGCAGGAGCGGGAAGAGGAGGCTCTGGCTTCCGAGAGGATGCAATGAGCTTAGGGCCCCTGAAAGGTTTGGAATCAGCCGCGACGCATATGACTCCAAGAAAAGTGCCAGCGTCGTCGTAGAGCGCGGTGTCGGTGGCGATGATGGAGAACCTGTCCCCCCATTTGTTCCTGACGGGGAACTGCCCCGTCCAGCTTTCCCCTCTGGACACGCGGCTCAGTATGTCATTGCCCGCAGAGATGAAGAGAGGATCCACCAGCAGCTCGAACACATCCCGACCCAGAGCTTCTGCTTCTGTATACCCATAGAGAGTCTCACAGCTTGGATTCCTGCACCCATCCATCCAATCAGATCAGATCAAATCAAATCAAATCACATCAAATCGATTTCTCAGCAGTAGCGGCATTAAATTGACTCCAGCAAGAGCAACAACAACAACAAGAAAAGCTCAACTGACCAGTAAACCAAGCGATTCTCCGTGTCCATTACATGCACTGCCTGCCCCATCGCCTCCAGTATATCCAAATACTGCCTGTCCGCAACACTAATGAATACCTCCTCCTCCTCCTCCTCCTCTTGCTCGTCGTCTTCTTCGACATTGGAGCCGTTGCCCCAGGAGTATCTGGTAGACGACGTCGCCGGATCCCTCCTCCATGGGGCCACGGCGTCTCCCCTGCTCGTCATCCACTTGGTGCGGTTAGTTTCAGAGGAGAGGAGCTTCGACATCTCTTGCTTCAAGTGCGCATGACCTTGCTCCAATTCATCAATCTTTTTCAGCAGCTGGTCTCGGGGCGGCAACCCAGGCGACGGAACCGGAGCTGCTCGTGCAGCTGCTCTACTCTCCATAAGTAAAGTAGAGTAGAGTAGATTAGGAAAACAATTTCTAAATCTTGGGAAACAAATTACTCAATCGAGCTGACTTCCATTCCCCGAAGACAGTACGACCCAGAAACCGAAGATGGGAAAATCTCTGCAATTGATCTTGCTGTCACACCCCCAGCCCGCCCTTTCCTGATTGATTGATAGATAGATGGATGGATTTCTCGAGATTGGATCGAGCTACTGGCGGTATCCGTATCGGTATTGCCAACCCAATGCTGTGTGCTTATGCTATGCTATGCTATGGTACGACCCTCTCCTCTTCCACGAAGATTTCTCCTGCTCTGCCGTTTCATACGCGATGATTCAGTGTATTAACAATACAAAATGCACACCCGATAAATATATTTTAATATTTTAATATATACTACTATGATTTATGAAGCCTTGATTTGAGATTTCTGACAACTAGTGCAAATTTTGGCTTTTTCCTCGCTTTTCGCTCTCTCTCTCAACCTATCTTGCTTTCTGTGAGGGTCGAGGGCGGTTCTCTGCTTTGTTTGCACTATAACTCATTCTTATTCTCGTTACGAACTCCACCTCCCAACCCAGCGCGTGTCCCACACGAATACCATGTAGGATTTGCGATTGGCACTACCAAAACTGTATTCAGCGTGGGGCGTCGCTCTCTCCTCTTCAGCTGCAGCCTTTTTTATTATTCTTTCCAGACATTAATAATAAGCAAATTACAACAAACTCCAATTTCCCACTTTTCCATTTTTTTCTAAATAATCGTCATATTATATTTTCTTTTTTCTTTTTTCTTTTCTATCTTTTATCTTACACATATAATCTAAGTGAGAAAAAAAACAAAATTTATTTTTGGATCTCATCATAAATCGCCTTAAACAATTTTATTCTCATTCATATAAAATTAATTAATTATAATGTTATCCGAGCCATGACACGAGGTGACACATTCATCCACGCTACTGCCCAAAAATATTAATCCGACACGACCGATACGAAATAATTAGGTTTGGATCAAATATTTCAACTCAATTATATATATGGATTGATACGAATCCGACACGATAATAAACTAATCGAATTATGATTGGGCTCTCAATCACATCAATCAATCATTCATAAATGTATTTACTTTATTTATTTACTTGCTCCCTCTCTACATGGAGTAATATACTACTGTAATTACTTCAAACCAATAAAAACAAAATAACACGACAACAAAACGAAAATTATTTAATTTGAATCAAGAAATTCGACTTAATTATGTATACGGGTCAACACGAATCAACTCAAACCCGACACGATAGTAAACAGGTTGAGTTAGAATTGAGTAAATTAACCTATTTAAAGTATTTAACCCAACACGAACCGACCCATTGCCAGTTCTATTCCATGCCACTTGCTCTCGTTACTTTCTTACAACAAAATATCAAATTATGCATTAGCATGTTTGATTTGTGTTTGCAATATAAATTACTATTACATATTACACATTGTTGAGATATTTTTTATATTTAGATTTAGTAAATTTATATTTAAATTTGATTTTTTCTATATATTATCGAGTCTGTCTCGCATAGGCTTTTTTATACAATTTCATTATCTTCTCCAAAAAAATTCTAATATGGTATCAAAACCTATTTTTTTTCAAATCGTAGCTACCAACTAGTGTTTCTTCAGGTCCATTCAACCCTTGAGGTCTTGTGATTTGGATATCATACATTTACAAATTTATCTTATTGCAAATCTATCCGCTATCTGTCATCTGTCTGCTACTTGCGTTGTGATCTGAAATTTATAGTGTTAGTGGTGTGTCTGTTGCCTGGATCTGAAATTTGTGTCATCTATCTGTTGCTTGTATGTTCCCTGAAATTTGTCTGCGATCGCTTGTCTGTTTGCCTGAAATCTGTTTTTGAAATTTATCTGAGATTTGTGTGCTAGTCCGATTTTCTAAGACAGAAACCCTATCCGTCGCCACACACTACTCGTCGGCCGACATTGCCGCCGCCATTGGAAGCGCCTCGTCGTCGCCGATCAACCACTGAAGATTCGCCACCAACTGCCGCACGTGGAGTCGCCACGTGCCGCCGACGCAAATCAGCGGAAGAGCTTTTCTGCCGCCACGCGTGTGGATATGTGGGGCTATCTCTCGACGCCGCCTCCTGCTTTAATTCCCTAGGGTGTGGTGTGGTTGATTTTGTTATCGAAGTTGATTTCATTTTTGAGACTGTTACCGGTAAGGTTATTCGATCTGTTCTATGGTCTGTCTGCGATTTGCTCTGCAATATGTCCGATGTTTGCGATCTGTTTGCAATTCGTGATTTGTCCAATGGCTGCGATTTGTTTTATGTGTTATCTGTCTGCGTTTGACTTTGATTCCATTTAGAGTACTATCGTTTTCGGCTTCGGTGGAGAGTCATGTTGTTTTTTTGCTCCAGTTGAGAGTTATGGAGAGTCAATTGTTTTCGGTTCCGATAGAGAGTCATGTTATTTTTATTTGCATTTTTAGTGTCTATTGATTTGTGTTATACTACTTGAATTTAAAGGAAATAATATTTTAGATATTCAATTTTAAATTTAGTAAATTTATATTTAAATTTACTTATATTTGAATCTGAATCTGTTTTGTATTGCATAGACCTTTTACTTTCATTATAACAACACAATCTTATTATTTTTCACAATTATTGCACTCATTTTTCAATAAATATACTTCCTTCCTCTATTGCTATTTATTTATTTATATTTTGATATAATAATAATAATATTCAAATATACTATTTTTAATCTTAATAATATATATATAATAAAGATAAAAAAATATCTAGACTAAACAAATATATACATACATAACTGAAAATTCTAGCCAATAATTAAACATACATCCTCCATTTTGGTTCGCCCCACATAATTTGTTCTTTATTTTTTAAAATATAATTATATATTTTAATTTTTTTTAACTATTTTAATCTTAATTTATAATTAGTATTATACAATAATTATTTTTACTAATATATTTCTTATTTATTTACTAATTAGACATTTTTTGTGAGACGAATAAAGTATAAAAAAAATGATCCAATTTTGATATGTTAAAAAAAATGGAAGTAAACAATTTTAACAAATATAACTAATAGTTTTATACTCCCTCCATCTCAGAAGAGATGTTTTTGTTGAAAGCTGCACCGAAATTAAGAAATAATAGTATTTAATTAAAATTGAATATAAAGTAAAATGTAAAATACTAAAATAAGTTTACTTTTTTAAAAATTTTTAAAAATAGATTAGAGTAATAATTAGGGATGGTTTGGAAAAGTATGAATAATTATGTTATAAAGTGAAGACTACGATTACTAAATAAGAAAACATCTTAAAAGAACAAAAATTACTTTACCAAAATATATTACTCCCTCACTCCATCGTCAGTCTATCAACTTTGTCATTTTAGTTGCAAATGTATCTATTTTTTTTTTAAGTAAATATATCTTCCACTAAAATATAAAATTAGCCGACCCTTTATATAATATTATACAAATATCATCAAATAACACCACTTAATACCATAAATGTTAAGGTGTATAATAGTCTTTATGTATATCAATTGTACCACATATCAATATAATACTAATATAGTAAAATCTACGTGCAAAAAGTAAACGGATAAATAAGCGGTAGACGGAGGCAATACAATTTTTCATAAGAGTTACCATTTTCAATTGCTATTGATTTATTTTTTTTACAAAAAATTTACTTTAGTATATTTTTTCTCTTAAAAAATATCAATCAAACTTAATTTATTATTTTCTTATTATATTAAAAATTAATTTATATCAACAATTATTTATATCATATAAACAACTATATTAATTAAAAATTTTACAATCCAAAACTCCAAATCCAACTTCAAAACCCAATAAGCAAAAACTCTAATTACATATATTTTATTAATTAGTGAAAATGTGTTTAACAATTTTACATTTTTATAATTGTATATATAATGATATGTTAGTAATTTAAAAAAAATTGAAAATATTTAATATTAGTGTATAATTATTTTTTAAAAAAATATAAAAAATATATTTTGGAGTAAAACTAACAAAATAATAAAAAAAGTAGTTTGAATTGATTGAACAGAGTATCAAATAAAAATACTAATAATCTTTTATTAATTATTTATTGAAAACTAAGAAAGTCTGGAAATCTCTACTTAAATGGAGGCAAAAGGTCCTTTTTAACGTCTTTTAGATGATCCAAGACTTGTAGCCTGTTTTAGATGATCCTTCATAATAAACTAATACTAATACTATTCAGTCTCCTCCTAGGCTCCTCCTTTATCTGATGGACACGGACCAGGGGCGTGTGTGACGTGACCATATGTGTTTGTTTTGGAGACCACATAATAATAATAATAATAATAATAATAATAATAATAATAATCCTTTGACCTGCAATATAGATATGAGATTTTAGATTAAATACAATTAGCGGAATATCTGTGATACGCACGGTAAAGTTAACGAAAAAAATTATAATTATATATATTTTTTTATAGTAATTTCTTTATATATTATATATATTTTTTAATCAATATAAAAATAAAATAAAATAAAATCAATGAATTATACTATCTTCTTCGTAAATATTAAATTTTGTAGCATTTTATTTTTATTTCTTAATTAAATATAAGATATAATAGTATTATTTAAAACAAATTTGAATGCAAAATAAATTATATTTTAAAAATTTAATATATTTTTTTATATCTTCTTTATTAATTACAAATAAAAATTATTTATCAATATATACGTTGTAATTCTAGAATAAATTTAAAACATAAGTCTATGCTTTTTTTTAAACATATATATGTGTTTATATAATTATTTTAAAAATTAGTAAAATATATGCATTTAACTTTGGATAGTACTATTCATTTATTTTAAATACAAAATCTGATTTGAGCAGCCGGATTTTCTGCAAACTTGAACTAAAAACATCATCAGCATCTACCATCATCCACTAATTCTCGGCCAAACACACGCACCAAATAGAGCCGACATTAGTCCACCTCTGCAGAAACTTTTTCGAAAAGAAATATGTAATACAAATTATGATTTACATTATATATTTGGAATAAAATATGCAGTATAACTAAAATAATTTAATGTTAAAATTTGGAATAGAATATGCAATATAACTAAAATAATTTAATGTTAAAATAACAATTTAATTTATTATGAACAAAATCAATTAAAAAATATATAAAAACTATAAATATATTTGGATGTATTTATAACTTGATTGATTATGAAAATAAAATTATTATTCATATACATATTACAATTTCTGTTTTATACAACTTAAAAAATAAAATCACTTCCCCAGATATTTTAATTACAGTACTGTAACTCTCTATAACGAAAAAAAATAATAAAAATAACATGATCAATTGCTAATAAAAATTTAAATTACACTTAAATGTATAATAAAA